CGCCAGGGACAATCTCCTGTGGCTCTCTGGGCTGCCCTCGGAGCCCTCTATGAGCCACACCGACATTTCCAGGTGAGGGCTGCACTGGGATGGGGCATCGATGCGGGTCCTGCATTGTTGGATATTGAATTATGACTGGTCTGAAGCCTGTTTTTGTGCTCCATTACCCCTATTCACTCCTCCAGGCGGATAGGGCGGCTGCAGCAGGGCCGCTATCGAGTGACCATGCTTCGGTCGAAAACGGATGCCTTTATTGAGCTATGGGATGTCGACAACGTTCATGTAGGGCTCCTATCCGGGGCAGGGACGCGTGCCATGTCGCATGGTTGGCAGACGGGCATTATTCTGGACCATGATGCAACCTAGGCTCTCGACTCTTTCCCTGCACCCATCCAAAAGTCCTTCTCATCATCGCTCTCTCATCGCAAACCGCAGACCGCGGCAGAGTCAATACGACGGGCCGCCAAGCCCTGGCGAGTCGATACATTCGAGAAGTACGGCCTGTACAAGCGGGAAGTCGCCCAGGCTGCCGGAGACTCGGGAGATCTGGCTCCCTCCTCAGGAAAACGCGGTCGCGGCACCGTGACGGAAACAGAGTCTTCTTCCAAACGAATTGCCTGTTCCATTATGTGATGGAAGCTGCGCGTGGTACATCATATCGCAGCCTTGCGTATGCCGTTTCCTTCAAGCCTCGCAACCTGGCAGCTGCTCGCCGGTGCGGACAATCATTTCCGGAAGGAGCTCACATAATCCGAGCCTGGATTGTCACCCCCTTCTCGACGATAAACACAGCGACCAGGGGCGCAGAGGTGAACATCCGGCTCCTACCCAAAATTTATGTTGATTTGTTTGCGTCGTTACATCCCATAAATATGCGCTCCGCGACATCTAGCGGCAACAGCGTGGGCAAGGCCATCACCGGCTGCGCGTCAGCGGTCGGCCGGGGGGTCACATCCTGTTTCTCGTCCAGCAAGAGCAAGCCCAAGGCGCGCGATGGCAAATCGCAGCACGCATGGGATAACCAGGCCCAGTCTCCGCTCATGGACAAGGGCACAGCCTTCGGGGAGGGAGCTCTGCAATACAACCCCTTCAACGAGGAGGTGCGCTCGCCCCGGGCCTCCAACCCGTGGAAGCAGTCGGCGCCCGCGCATCGGGCCAACAAAAGGAGCTCCAAGGGCCAAGGCGTTTGGCGAGGGGGCTCTCCAGCAATGGCACTGAGGCCCACCGGCGCTGACGTTATCGTTACGCTCCCGGTGGCACTCTTCCCCGGCCCAATGACATTCCGTTACCAACGGTGACCGCTTCGGGGTCGGCCCCCGTCATCGTGCGCTTCCGCTTGCCCATCACTTGTCACATACTACACTTTCATAACAAATAAAATGCGATCAATTCTTCTTGTACACGCCGGTTCGCCCCCTGTCTGCTTCGCGATTGTTCTTGTAACCTGAGTGTTTCAGCAATTCCATGAAGGAGAATTCTGGGGGCCTGAGAAGGAGAGGTGAAGGGCCTGCCGCCGTGCTTGAGCATGGCAGTAGACCGGCAGTATCGACGAGCATCAAAACATAAGAATCGTTGTGCTGCATATAGACTGCGGCGTCCTGCAACTGCGCCAAGAGCAGACGGGCAAACACACGAGCAAAAACAAGTACAAAGAGGGCAGCCGTGGGCATGCAACGGGTTTTCAACGAACGAGAAATGACGGCACGTTGGGGTCAAAAAGAGCCATACAGTTTGCACCAACAGATTATTGGGGACTCCAAATCATCTCGATCTCCTCCAGGGTCTTCCCCTTGGTTTCCGGCACTGGGAGTGGGAGGGTGGACACGAGCGTGAGTGGTTCGGTGCAGAGACTACAATTCCATGCTAATGCAAAACATGTGTGTGCATTAGCATTGAGATTCCAGTCCCGGCCCAATAGCTGCCACAATAGCTATCCATCTCTCCTATCACCCTATCCATTCAGAAATTTTCCAAGACAGCAAACAGAATCCTCCTACCTATCCTGAAGATTGTGTGCACTGCCACACAGGCAATGACACCAAACATGACATATGTTGCTGTGGGATGGGAATGATGAGGGTGATTGTTGAAGTGGTGCTGTTTGTGTCCAGGAGTCATGGGCAGCCCGCTTGTGCACATTCATTGGGGCCCTCTCGAGCATGACACCGCTCTCCCGGCTCCCCTCATACCCTCCCCCTCCCTACCCGCGGGTCCAATGGCTTCGCGAATGCTGGGCAGGAGCAGGCTGACTATGAAATTGGAGGTAAAGTTGCAAAAGGTGGCAACCGCAATGGCTTGACCCCGGACCCGCAGCGGGAAGATTTCGCTGACCATCAGCCAGGACAGGGGCCCAAAGCTCAGCTGCAGAGAGTAATGAATTTGGTAAGGGGTGTTGATGACAATGGATTGGTTTTGGGGGGTTGCAGTTATAGTCTAGACGAATTACTGCAGACAGAAGCATGTCTAAGAGGACATGCATTCGGGTTTGGCGAGACCCTCAATGCAACCCACCCAGGCACCGTCACACACCCGCCCTACCTGGTAGCTTCCCACGAAGAGCAGCAGCGCGGCCAGACTGGTCCAGGCGGCGGCGGCGTGGCTGACGTGGAGCATGACGTGCGAGGAGGCGAGGGCGAGCGAGAAGAGGGAGACGGTCAGCGCGGCGACGCCTCCTAACAATAATGGCCGCCTGCCCAGGCGGTCGACGGTGGCGACCGCGACGAGGGTCATGAGCATCTTGAACAGCCCCAGGACGATGGAGATGCCCGTGGCGGCCTCGGAGCCCTTGAACCCGGCAGCCTGGAAGGTGGAGGCCGCGTAGTAGAGCACCGAGGGCTGCCCCGTGATCTGCTGGAAGACCATGAGGCTGACCCCGATCTGCAGGGGCCGGCGGTAGCGCGGCCGCGTCAGCTCCACCAGCGACTCGAGCAGGCCCGGCTTGCGGCTCGCGCGCGCGCGGTGCCCGTGCGCGGCGCCGCCCTCCTCGGTGGGCACCGGCTCGTGCGCGACCCCGGCGTCGGCGAGCGCCAGCTCCATCTCGGCCAGCTCGCGCGCCACGGTTTCCTTGGACACGGCGGCGCCGTGCAGGCGCGAGAGCGCCTCGCCCGCGCGCGCGCCCGCGGCCGGCGAGCAGCAGCCAGCGCGGGGACTCGGGCAGCCAGAGCATGCCCGCGCCCAGCACCAGCGCCGGGGCCACGGCCACGCCGTACATGGCCCGCCAGCCGCCGCGCCGCTCGATCCAGACGTACCCCGCCGCGTAGCCGAGCATGACGCCCGTGACCACGAGCGCCTCCTTGAGCGAGATGAAGAGCCCGCGCGCGCAGGCGGGGGCCGTCTCCGCGATGTAGGCGGGCGCCGCGTGCATGCCGTAGCCGATGCCGAGGCCGTACACGCAGCGCGCGAGCAGCACGCCGCCAAAGGACCAGGCCGCCAGCGTGCCCAGCGAGCCCAGCGCGAAGAGCAGGGAGGCCAGCAGCAGCTCGCCGCGCCGGCCCAGCAGGTCGGCCGACACAAAGGCCAGCACCGAGCCGGCCAGCGCGCCAAACAGCGAGGCGCCCACCACCATGCCCTCCTGCAGCGCCGTCAGCGCGTACCACGCCGTGCCGCTAACGTCCGCGCTGGTCAGCGAGACCAGCGCGCCGCTGCTGGCGCCCACGTCAAAGCCGTAGAGCAGGCCGCCCAGGGCGGGGAAGATGAAGATGAGGAAGGCGCGGCGCCACCGCACGGGCTCGTTGTGCAGCACCGTGCTGGCCGAGATGGCCCCATCGGTCGGCACGCACTCGATGTCAAAGCTCACGGGCGGGTGGTAGTCCTGCGGAAAGAGTAAAAGGGAGGGGCGCATGTGCAGCTTGACGATTGCGGCGGACATGCGCGTTATGCACTTGGAGAAGCATGGTCATGGAGCAGTCCGGCTAGAGCAGTTCCCCTCGTCCAGTCCACCACAACATATTCATGCCGTCAGCTTCCCACCGCCTAACGAGTCCCCTGCACAGGCCTACCTGCTCCTCCATGACCCTTTGTCGGTAAAAGGTGCGAGCAGCGGGGCGCACTCGAACCTCAGCGACTCGCATTCCCTGCTCCCGCGCCTCTCCGTGACTGGCCGCTCCGTCGGCCTACGACAGCCACAGCTGTTCCACCCACGCAAAGAGCAGTCTTTCGAGCCGTACAGACAGGGATCACGCCAACAATGGACTCGGGGCGGTGCCGTGTGCACAAGTCAGAACCGCTCCCGGTTCCTGCGGGTCGAGACCCGGTGCGGCGCCCTCGCCGACCGGGATGTCGACCTGGGCGTGCTCCTGCGAGGATGCAAAAGCTGTAAATGGTTGTGTGGCGTGCCTGGCGCCCACCCGATCTTGCTGGGTCGCCCGGGAGGTCGCCCACACTCGATCATGCACAGCTTCTACGGAGTGGCCAGGGCCCTCCTTTGAGGCTGACCGGCGGCCCTCTTGCTGGCTCAGGCGAACCGGAGATCAGAAACGCCATGGCCGCGGCACGAGCCATGATGTGGTGCTCCATGCGGGTCAAATAGATATAAGATTGTGCTGGAGGGTGCAAGGTGCAGAGTTAATGAGTGCTGTGGATCCTCGTGTCCCGGGCAACAACATGTATGCATGGTGGGCAGAGAAACAGGCACCTGGAGGGGCGTTGGCAGCCCAGTTCACGACGGCCTGTGCACGAGCAGGTGATCAAACTCATAGAGTATAGAGGCGGCGGCCATTTGCAGTTGCCAGAATGCGGTCAAGGCTGGGCCGATGTACATGGTGTTGTGCATCCAAGCCGACGTTGCGATACCATCAGAGCTGATCACCACTGGTCTGCAGAAACATCTCCCCTGACACACAATTCATTGGTGCATAAAAGATGCAAATTTGTCCACAACACGCGCAGATCATGCCATATGTCGAAAACTGTCCCGCTTAAAATATTCGACCTGATCATATAACGGAAAAAAATCCGTTTTGGCAATTGCTGCTTTCCGGTACACCGCTGTACGGAATCACGAGTACATGGGCCAGTGGTCTACGCCGTGGCGTTTAGGTTGGACACCGTGAATGCGGTGGCGCCCTTTACTATAAAGGGATCATGAAACCCGCCATCCGAGAGGGCGCAGGTTCGAATCCTGCTGTACTCATCTCAATACCCCTCACGCCTTAGCAGTTTCTTTTTGGATTTTATCGAATTCGTGCAATGTGTGTCTGATGTGAGCGAAATTGATGCCCAAGTTCTATGCGATTCTAGCCCATACGAGAGTTCGCGGATTCCGTCACCCGTGCTCCTCGGATGGTAATGGACGCCAGCATATTCGCCGAAAATCCAAAACACGAGAGTCCCCTCAGTACTCGGCTGCCACGACAATTCCAGACCATTTGGTCAATCGTTTTTATCGACTCTGCAAGGAAGCATGGGATACTTCCCATATCCATCATGTCAGCCGCGTTCAGAATGATGGCGCGTCGCCGTGGACTTGGCCGCTGAGCGACCTTGCCACTTTTGAGTCGAGTGCACTCCATGCAAGGTCTTGCAGCACCATGCTGGCGAACGATGCTCATTTCAAACATTAGGCAGGCCTGATCAGCTGAATACAACCGTCCCACGGCCACCGGCCCCTCCGGCACTCCCCGGGCTGGCGCTAGCGTAATTTTTAATGCTGCCGTCGGACTTCAAACACGTTTCCATTGAATGCATGATTGAATTAAAACACCCACGTCAAGAATAATTCCCCAGTACCGCGTTTCTGGGATGACTAGCGCCGTCCTCGGCAGCCTTGGTGTACGTCAGCACACGAGTGGCCAGCCGCGATCTTGCGTTGGCCACGATCTTACTTGGACGCTGCCTGTCGGTGACAAACGGACGTGACCCCCGCTCCCGAACTTGGCCGAGGCTTAGCGAGACCACACCCCAAAATTTTCGCGTTTCAAGTCGAGACACGGTCGCTCTGGGTGGTGCTAGCGCAAGCTGGCAGTCCTCGGAGGCGGCTTAGCTCTCGGTGCGTGGAGCCCCAGGCAGCCGTGGGTTTGCCGGCCTCGGGAACGGCTCGTGCCGCAGCTCGACACCCCACCAATGCTGTGACGGTCCTCTGGTTCTTGAGCAGGCTCTCCAGGGCCCCGAACCTTGGGCGGGGGTCTATTCAAGGTCGCGTGCGCTCGTGGGAAGTCACCGGGCCCGCGACCGGTCTTGCCACCCCAGAAGCGCCTGGTCTGCACCATGGACCTGGCCACGGACGTCTGCTTGCCGTTCCGAGAGCACAGCGCCCAGCTGGTAAGGCGCAGCGTCGGTGGCATGCTGACCCTTTTCGGAAGGGGGCCCTTGTGCATGCGAACCGGGCCCGGGCACCACTCCGGTTCTGGCGCATGCGTTGTGGGTCGTGTGCCGGCAGCATGCCTGATCATGGAATAACATTGGACGGGGTTTTGATTGCAGGATGAGCGCCTAGCGCGACTGTTTGGGGGTCGCGGCCTGGCCGCGCTGCCCCGCCCCGACTGCGTGAACGAGTACGGGTCGCTCATGCCCCAGACGGATGGGCCGGTGCCGCAAAAGTGGAGGCGTGCCGGCGCGGCGCTCCCCCCCGGGTCTCTCCTGGATGGGTTGGAACCCGTCACTGCCCAGCCCCGCATCCAGCGTGCCGCCTCCGAGCCGCCCTGTTCATCGGGCGCGGTTGGCGGCGACGGCGCGCCAAGGTCAAACGGTGTCGCGGCGCCCACGCCCGCCGCGCCGCACCCGAGCTCGGTGCGCGAGATCATGATGGCCGTCGAGGCGCTGGGAAACGTCCCCAGACTCGTGTCGCCCCTGCCGGCCGACTGGGCAGCCAAGGCGGCGCGCTCGGCCGCGGCGCCTCGCTGCCGCCGCGGGCGCCGGCGCCCTCGGCCTCGCCCGCCGCGGCGAGCAAGAAGCGCCCGCGCGTGGAGGAAGCCGCGGCGTTTGCGGCGCCGACGCTGCGCCGCGCAGCCAGCGCGGAGCCGATGGATCGCGCTGGACCGGGCCCGCTGGCCGGCGCGCGCCAGCGCTCGGCGTCGGCGGCCGACCGCCTGGACTCGCGCGCGCCGCGTCGCCCGCGCCCGCGGAGGACGCGCTGGGCGCGATGGCCACGCTGTTCCCGGCCGCGCTGCGCGCCGCCGACGGTGCCGACCTGCTGCGCGAGAGCTCGGCGGCGCTGCAGGAGCAGGGCCGGAAGATGAAGCGGCTGGCCGAGAACAAGATGGTCCCGGACGCGGGTGGCCGCCCGCGGCCGACCCACGTCTCGGCCTACTTCCTGGCGCAGGCGGGGCTCAAGTTTCTGGCCTCAGCCGTGGCGCTCGAGCGCGAGCTGGACGAGGCTGCCCGGCTGTTCAGCAAGACGGGCGGCGCGGCCGGGCGGCGCGCCGACGCGCCCACGCTCTACCGCCAGACGGCGGCGCTGCTGGACGCGGCGGGGCGCTCCGCGCAGGCCGCCGCCTCGGGTCCGCCCCTCGTCACGGCCGCGACCGCGCTGCTGTGCGAGCGCCTGGCGGCCGTCGCGCGCCTGCGCGCCGTGTTCCTCTCGCGCGCGCGGGCGCGGCCGCCTCGCGCGCCTTTGGCGCGGCGCTCGAGCGCGGGCTGGGCGAAACCTTTTTGCGCGGGTCCCCCACCGACAGCGCCGCGTCGACGAGCACGACCGCGGGCGCGCCGGCGCCGGGCCTCGGTGCGGCGCCAGACGCCGCCGACGTGCTGGTCCCGCTGCCGCGCGAGACGCTCGAGGCGCAGCGTGAGAGCAACCGCGACGTGCAGGACTGCGCGTTTGCGGCGCTGAGCGCGCTGGCGCGGTCCTCGGACCGCCTGGGCGAGCTGGTGCAGCGCGCGGAGCGCGAGGGCTCGGCGCCGGGCCTCAAGGCCGCCGTCTCGCTCGCGCTCATCACCTGCGACGCCGGGGTCGGCAACCCCGCGCCCATCCTGGGGTTTGCGCGTGCGGCCCTGGCCGACATCGTCAAGATCATCTGAGATTCCCGCGCCCCGTATTTATGCGTCGAGCCCTTTTGTCCCTTGGGTGTGGGGAGCTAATTTCTTGCTCTCTCACCCAGGTGTCTGTCTGTCTATCGATTGAGGAGACCGCAGAGGCGGTCTCCGCACGCCATTGGTCCCATACGCGCGCAGCGACGGCGCCGCGCCGGAAGCTGCTGCCCACCCGCGGTTTGCATTGTACACTTTCTTCCCCTGTCCAGTACCCTTTTTGTGCCCTCAGCGCGGGCAGAGGCTGGTTGCCAGACGATTCACACAGAGTCGGCAGCCGGCCCGCCCGTCCGCTTTTTCCCCATTCTGTTCCTGTTCCCCCCCCAGCATCTTTCTCTACGTGCGCCAGGCTAAACCCCTCGAATCTCTTTACAAAGAAAGAAAGAAACGGATCCCCAATGAATGCAATATGCGCCCTCGTCTGCATGTCGACGACCGCGCACGTGTTTTCTTCCTTGCCGCGATTGCGGCGGTGTTTTGCGTCACCCTGCCTGCCCTCGTCCGTGCGCCGCCAAGGTAATAGCTCAATCGTCGTGCAAGGGAAGCGATCGGGCCGTCGCGAGGATGGCCTTGACGTCGTCCAGGGGGTAGTGCTGCAGCAGCTTGACGCACCCGGCGAAATCGCTCTGCAAACGAGGAGGCGAGGTGCACAGGATAGAGTGATTATTAGGTACAAGTTCAAAGGCCACTAAGAATAAACACCCCCCCTACCAATCGCCCACCTGGAGCAGCTCGTCGCGGACGAGGACGAGCATGGCGAGGCAGACGCGGCGCAGCGCGCGCTGCCGGCCGCGGCTGGCCGCCAGCAGGGCGTCCCAGAGCTGCAGGAGGTCTGGCAGGTCAAACTCCTGGGTCAGGAGCAGCGTGACCCAGCGGAACCCGAAAAAGTAGGGCGTGAGGCCGTAGGCGTCAAAGAGGTGCGCGGCCAGCGCCGGGTCCAGGTCGCGCAGCGCGCCGGCCAGGCGGGCCAGCGTCCCGTTGATCCCGGCGGCCGAGTCGTCCAGCTGCTTGCAAAAGTGGTCGCGGCACTCCCCCATGAGCTCCACGAAGCAGAAGAAGGCGTCGGCCTCCGCGTGCGCGGCCTCGGCGGCGGCCGGGTCGCTGCCGAAGACAAACAGAAAGGGCGCCAGGAGCTCGTTCATGCCCTGCACGTACTTGATCCCGGGGTTGAGCTTGGCGTACACAAACAGGGCGCGCGCCATGGCCTGCGGTGTGTCAAGGGTAGAAGGGGTGGGGGAGTTGGGGCGGTTGGGAATGTGGGCGAATCTCAGACGGTTTGTAAAAGGCGTGATCAGATACGTTGGATCCAGCCGCATCCGGAGCGTCCACCCCGACCATCCACCTCTCAAGACACCACCAATGATACATCACCGCAGCGCACCGTGCGATAGCCAGAGGCCGCGTCGCCATCCACGCGGAAAAAGTGGAGATCCGGGTGCGTGCGCTCGACATCTCGCTGTATCTGGGCCCTGATCTCCTCCTCCACAAAGCGCTGCTGCCACTGCGTGCCGGGCGCGGCCGAGAGGGGGTCGTCGCCGCCGGGCAGGGCCGCGCGGCTGAGCAGCGCCTCTCCGGCTCCCGTCCCCGGGCCGGCACGCTGCGGCCCCGCCTCGGTCACGGCGCCGTTGCCCAAGGGCACGGAGCCGCCGCTTCCAGGCGAGCCAAACTCCTGCACATGAAAGCTTTCTAGCAACATCACATGCATGTGAATGCAAGGGCTAATGAAAATTTGCAGCCTGGCACACAATGCATGCGCAAAATTGGACGACGGACAAAGGCAACCTCCGCACGCACCCGCTTGAATTGCGCGTACAGCGCCCGCTTCTGCTCCAGGTGCCGCTTCCAAAGATCGCGCTGAGGGGGGAGGTAGCCCAAACAGAGCTGCGTGCACGAGGATGCGCATAAAATTGCCTGAGACGCCGGCGCGAAGGGACCCAGATACAAAAGTCAACCACACTCCCAGCCCAGTGCTGACGACCCACCTTCCAGGCCAAGGGCCTGGTGGCTCTTGGATCGGGGAGCCCGTCCTGGGCCAGGGCTCCGAGACGGGCCACATCGATCACGGGCTGGTGGAGGAGCTCCGCCATGACGTCCCGCTTGCTGCGGGGGAGGTCCTCCCCGTCCACGCCCTCCGTCCGCTCCATCGTGAGTGGGCGCAGCTCACCGCAT